GACTAATTTATATATACCATTATGCTACTTTGTCAAATTGATATTATATTGATAAAAATAAATATAAAAAGATATAACATATTCAACTGAACAAATTTGAAAATCTATATATTGTAATAAATTAAAGTGTGTGGGGTTACAATTTTTGTGACAATATTAAAGGAAAAAACACAAAAAACCTTGTTCATTCTAATAATCAATGTTGTGTACCAATAGCGACCATTATATTTAAAATTTGTAGTGTTTATTTTGGATATTAACTTTGTCAGCTTGAATTTTATATGTATTTTATTGAATTCGGAATTAAAAAAAAAATTAAACAGGGTAAGAAAACTGCCCCGACCCGCCCCGCTAGACGGGACGGGGCGTGGGGTGGGAGAAATGGGGCCCGCCCATCCCGAACCCACCCTGTTGCCATCACTATGAATACGAAAGTAATCATAAGACATTGAAAAAATTTGAAAATATATAAAAGAAGAAGAAGAAATGAATAAAAAAATTACCTTTCTTTCTATGGAGGGACATTCAAAACCTTTTTATTCACCTCTCTCTTACTGCAATGAGGAAATAACACAAATAAGGCAAAATTTCTGAATTAGATTGCCTAGTCTCCACACAAACAAAATTTAATTGTAAATTCGTTGCCATCACTATGAATACGAAAGTAATCATAAGACATTGAAAAAATTTGAAAATATATAAAAGAAGAAGAAGAAATGAATAAAAAAATTACCTTTCTTTCTATGGAGGGACATTCAAAACCTTTTTATTCACCTCTCTCTTACTGCAATGAGGAAATAACACAAATAAGGCAAAATTTCTGAATTAGATTGCCTAGTCTCCACACAAACAAAATTTAATTGTAAATTATACAATGCAGAGACAAAGTTTCAGAATTAGTAAATATATGCAGAGATATTGTAAAATTATTTTGAGCAAAATAAATGACAAATTTAAAATATTTTAAACAATTTTGCAATCAATACTTTGATATGCTTATATATATATATATATAATTTAAAGCGAGAGCTATCGAAAGGATGGATACGAATTTCAACAATAAGTTGTCACCCCCCTTGAAATTAAATTCTCTTTATTTAACACTGAACTTAATCCCAACATCAACAAAGTTGTCCAACAAATAAACCTCGACAGCATGCAAAAGCCAAAGCAAACATGATTTAATTTTTACCGCACAAGTAAAGGTAAATCTTCTTTTTCTCATTCTCTGTCCATCGTCATTCATCATCTAGGAAACAAAAATGAATCAGAATAAGTAAAAAAATATATATATATATTCTAACCCATTAATAAGTTATCTAAAGTAAACAAAAAATAAAAATAAAAAAAAGAAACGAAAATTACGTTGTTTTGAAATAGAACCTCAATTTGACGTTTCCACCCTCCATCATCATGCTCCTGATTATCAGCTCGATGCAGCTGATTATGCATCATTTGTGTTCCATATTTCAACACCCCTCGCGCAAAATGGAGAGTAGATGTTAACAACTCCTATCTTGTTCAAGTGATGATAAAACTGACAAGAGTTTAGTGATTTTGTTAAAATGTCAGCAACCTGAAATCTGCTACTAAGATGTTTAGCTATTATGCTTCCTTCTTGAATTTTGTCCCGTATCAAATGGCAATCCAACTCGATGTATTTAGTTCTTTCATGGAAGATTGGGTTGGCCGCTATGTGGAGAGCAGATTTGTTGTCACAGAAGAGGTTAGCAGCCTGTGGGTGTTTGATTCTTAAGTCTTGAAACAAGTACCTAAGCCAAGTGAGTTTACAGCATACATTTGCCATTGCCCTGTATTCTGCTTCTGCTGGAGACCTGGATACTATGCTTTGTTTTTTTGATTTCCAAGATATCAAGAATCTTCCAAGCATCATGCAATATCCTGTTACACTCCTTCGTCTGTCTGGACAAGCTCCCCAGTCTGAATTGCTATAAGCATTAAGCTGTAAATCTGAATCAATAGGAAATAGCAATCCTGGAGCTCCTTTAATGTACCTCAACACTTTATTAGCAGCACTCAGACGGGAAGTGCCAGGGGAACTCGTGAATTGGCTTAATAATTGTACTGAGTATGAAAGATTTGGTCTACTAATGATTAAGTACAACAGTCTCCTAAAAAGTCTTCCATACATAGTGGGATTAGGGAAAGGATCTCCATCCGTCTTTGAAATTCTCACATTCTGATCCAACAGTCTTCCAACAAGTCTTCTATACATAGTATGTCCAAAGCATACTTTCGTTGGCAAATATGAATTCCTTTACCAGACCTTGCCACTTCTATTCCCAAAAAATATTTCAATGTCCCCAAATCTTTGATCTTGAATCCCCTATCAAGTAGGGCTTTGAGAGAGCTAATGTTGTTTACATCACTACTGGCCACAATTATGTCATCTACACAGACGAGAATGGCAGTGAAAGAACTCTCAGTGGACTTTGTAAATAGACTGTAGTCAGCTTTAGATTGTGTTAATCCTTGTTCAATAACGAAGGTTGAAAGCTTGGAGTACCATTGTCGGGATGCTTGTTTGAGCCCATACAAGCTCTTCAACAACCTGCACACTTTTGAATTCCCTCAATCAGAATGGCCAGGAGGCATCTTCATGTACACTTCTTCATCCAGATCCCTATGTGGAAAGGCATTATTTACATCAAATTGATATAAATGCCATCCTCTCACAGTCGCAATAGCTAGTAAGGTTCTAACTGTCACCATCTTTGCTACAGGTGAAAATGTCTAATGATAGTCCAACCCCTCCTGCTATGTATATCATTTTGCCACAAGCCTTGCTTTGTACCTTTCAACACCACCATCAGCTTTATAATTTACCTCTTGTGTTCTCTCAACTTCCGTAATTCAAGCTCAATATGGAGATATCTAACCTGGATGCTTAATTGTGATCTTTACAGGAGTTTTGGGCTGCAGGTTCCATCCAAGGCAATCATGGCTATTTACTGCAGGCGCTGATTCCGTTATCGGGCTCTATTGTCATTAAGAATGGTCATACTGGAAGGCAACAGTATATTTTCGGTTCCATTCGAATCCCAACTGACTTCAGGGTCTTTTCTAGAGAATGATGCCTGAGAAAAGTTATTTTGGTCCATATGTGAGCCTTAACTAATACGAGGTTCATAGTTCTATTTATTTACTGAATCCGAAACATAATCTTTAATGTTATTTTGGTCTATTGTGATTTCTACTTATGACTATAGACGTTTTTTAGTAGCAACACTTTATTTTATTCAAAATTGATATTTTATATTGGATATGAGTTTGAATGGCCATGTCATATTCCTCTTTTTCTTAAACCTAGTACTCGAGGTTTTTAAAATTTGAGAGAAGTTGTTTGAATAAAAATATAATTGACATTTAAGAAACATTTTCTATACAAAAATATGAACAATCGTTTTAAAAAACTTTATCATATGCTTATCAAAGAATCTTTGAGCCCCATTTTTCTTAAAAAATGCATTTTAAAATAGTGTTACGATAGTTAAAAAAATTGAAAGTTTTAGTTTTGCGTGTAATTTTTTTTATTGAAAAATATGTAGTTGAAACGATTTCAAATCGTATTTTGTTGAAAAAATGGAGCTCATACGAGGGAAGAAAATTAACATTAAGCCCATGTTTGAGTCACATTCTAAGAAAAAATGTATTATTCATGTCAAATTAATGGAAAATGGGTAGTTCAAAAATAAGAAAAAGTTTTAGACTTACGTGTAATATTATTTTATTGAAGAATATGTGATTGAAATGATATCAAATCATTGTTAAAAAATATATTTTTTGAAAATAATGTGACTCCTAAATCTTATGCCATAAGTTTCTTAAATCTACATTAATAATTCCCAATGGAGTAAATTTTAGTTTTAGCCCCAAAAAGCAGTATTTGTCAATAAGTTCTTAATTTCTGGTCCATTTTTGTAAAATTATTAGCCCACTAAAGATCGCGTAGCCCAGTCCACAACCCCATAACTTCGAGAATGTCTAGAAATTTCGTTTCAGATATAAAAATAATCGTTTATTGCAGAGTTTCGTACTACCTTTGAAGAAGGTTCAGTTCCATTTCTCTTTTTTCTGTTCACAATTCCATTCTGTTAAGTAAATCGATTACTAGCATTAGTGGTTATTTACAGGTATTGAATTGATATTGAATAAAAATGGCAAGCAGTGAAGAATTGGCACTGGACTTGGACGAATTGAAACATCTTCAAATCATTGCTAAGAGGCCTCGCGTTGTTTCTCTTATCTCCAACGAGATTCGCGACTTGGAAAAGGTATAATTTTTAAACACATAACGAGAGGGATATATTCTATGTGGATTTATTTATTTGGTTTTTGTATTTTTAATATCGGGAGTTAAGACTCTGTTTTTGACCGGTTCTTGCTGCTGATGATGAGGGTTTCTTTCTTCTTAATTAAGTTTTATTTTCTGGCCATTTTGAGAAGTTACTGTCGATGGTTCATATTCTGAGATGCCTTTTGCTCTACGGACGTATGGTTCTTGTTTTTGAAATTAAATATGTGACTTTGATGAACCCAGGAAAAAATTATTGTAAGATCAGAAGCTCAATTGAGGACTTCAATTTACTTTTACTGATCAAGGTTGATTATACATATTGCCTACTTATGGTTATTAACTTATAGTTGTGACTATATTGGCTTTTGTAATTCTTTTATGTAATCTTGACTTGTGCCAATGGTGAGGTACAAAAATGTGATTTGGAGTCCAAACGTGTTTTAAAAGATGATGATTTTGGAGAAATCTTTGTATTGCTCAGAGCCTTGGACTCTAATAAAAGTGTGTCATAGTGGGAGTACTCAATGAAGAAGCCTTCCAATCAATAAATTTGAAATTGGCTAAGTGAATCCTTTTTTGTCGTAGTTTGAGGATTCCTTTTCTTGCAAAGGTCAGTTGTCCTTGGACACGTGTAATTAGCATTTCTATCAGATTTTTCTTGGATAGGATATTCAATGTTATTACTCTTAATTCTGTACTGTTAAAAGTTCCATTTCCATCTTTAAGATCATGTTTTTTTCACCCTAATTTAATCCTTGTACCTTCATCTTATACTCATTCTGTCATTCAGACTAATGGACAACACTAGATAATGGAATCTAAACTGAATGATATAGAAGCAAATGTGTCAATCATAACATTGTTATTTAATGAATATTATATTGGCACTTTGCTTTTGAACATGTATTCCTATGATTGTTGTCGACGTGGTTTCCATCTCTCTCCAGTACATAAAATGTGGAATTTGACTGAAAAAGCGTGAACAACTACACAATTGTATGTATTAAGAACAGAGTAACAGTGAGTGTCTTTGATGGGATTTGTATTTTTTCATTTCTATATGGATTAATTCTTTTCAGAACAACTCATAAAAAGAAATAAATAGTTATGTTCCTTATCCGTTTTTAGCACTCCTTGCTCATGAGAGCATGCAGCCCCTTTTGTTTGATTTTTATACGTCAGGAATCATGAGTTGTCATATGATGAGAAATAATCTAATTTGAGAGAACAAAGCTCCTCATTTTGTTCCCATATGGTGATTAATTTCTTATTTTGATGGATAGAGAATAGATACTGCTTAAGATTGGAAGATGCAAGAGAGGACTATACCTTCTCCGCCCTTTCAATATGTTGGGAAAATATGTGGGAGTGTATACTCATTTAGTTTAACTTGCTATGTATGATTTTTGCAGTTAGCAATAGATGCTGCTTCTGCTTCTGCTTCTGCTTCTGCTTCTGCTTCTGCTTCTGCTTCTGCTTCGCAGCAACCAGTTACAACTACGTTTGTGCCATCACTGAAATCAACTGCACCAAATGTGGTGGCTAGCCCTGTTCTAAATTATGTTCCTCTTGGGTCTTTCAGCTGGGATCAGGACAGCGATCAAGTGAAGGTGAGGGTGCATACTAGTTTGGAGGTTTTGTAGTTTTCATGAAGTTGTTCTTGTGTGACTGTCAAAATATGTGATTTATTTCCGATTCGGCCATTAAAGATGCTATTTATTTTAAATCTCACTTATCTACTTAGATAGATACTTTATAAGCTCAGCAGAGGACGTTATTAGTTTGGTCTATTGTCTGTGATTCTGCATAATAGCTAAATTTGCTTTTGGCATATTTGTAAGCTCTTCATTGCTGGCTGGGACAAGTTACAGTTTTCAGCTCTTGCCATATGTTGATTCTTCTATGTGTTCTATGACCGGATTTTTAGTTTAGTATCTTTATTGTTTTTCATTTTCCCAGATTTATATCCCATTGGAGGGAGTTGAGCAGGAGAAACTCGAGGCTGAGTTTAAACCAAGTTCTTTTGATATTAAATTCCATGACATCCAAGGAAAGAATTATCGATGTGCCATACCAAAATTACACAAGGAGATTGTGCCTGAGAAATGTAAAGTGGTAGTAAAACCAAAGAGGGTCATTGTCACCTTAGTTAAAGCATCCAAAGGGAACTGGTTGGATTTGCACTTCAAGGAAGATAAGGTTATTCCTTGAAGCTGAAATTTGATAAGTGAATTTTATATGCTTTTATTGATTCTGTATTAATGTGCCGCATGATGTTATAGCTGAAGCCGAATTTGGACAAAGAACGTGATCCAATGGCTGGAATAATGGACTTGATGAAGGTTCAACTTTTCGTCTCTTAGATCACTTCCATAAAATACTTGTGCTTGCTTGGTTGGATGCTGCCATGCTGTGTCCTGTCCTATCGTGTCTACCAAACATGCCATTATTGTTTCTTCTCAGTGTTGGCAGCTATTTATTTTTTACAATGTGAACTTCCATGTCATTTGCAGAACATGTACGAGGAAGGTGATGAAGATATGAAACGAACAATTGCAAAAGCATGGACCGATGCTAGATCTGGCAAAGCAACTGACTCTCTAAAGGGATTTCCTTGAAGATATCTAAGAGGGTATAGATTATTAAGATTTTGATATGGTCATTGTCTAAATTTTCTTCTGAGTTGTTTGTTCTTCGTGCAAAACATATGATTTTTAGTCTAATATATTTGAATTTTGTGTTTGTGGATTTGACATGGACGTGGTAAATGTTAGGTTCTTGAGCCAATAGTTCCTTTAGACATAAATGGTGACGAGACCTTGCTTGTATTGATAAGAAAATGTTAATTATAATCAGATATATATGTACAAGTTAAAATGGAAAACATTAGAGTTTGAATATGATACCTCAGGGATTCATAAACATTTTATGACGATGGGAAAAATGACTAAATGATCGTTCTTGATTGAATTGACCTTTTTGTTTTTGCTGACTATATTACATTTTATTTGAAATGAAAGTGTGCAAATTTTGCTCATTTTTCAGTAATGTTTTACCCCACCTAAGCGGCCAATTTTTGTCTGCTTCTTCAGGAAATTTTCCCATTCTTTTTCCCTTTTTTTTTTTTTTAATCATGAACTTTGATTAATTAACACCTCATGTATCTTTTATTAAGATTTTCTTTAAGTATTATGTTAACGCGGGAAAATATTTTGTCAAAATTATGTATTTATTGTTTACCTTATTTATTTAAAAATGGAAAAGGTAAATAAATTTAATGAATTTTTTGAACGTTAACAAGATGTGCTAATTAAAATAAGGTTGAAAATAAAATAAAACAAATAGTTAGGAATTTAAATGAAAAAATGAGTAAAAATAAGAACTTTAATAGTAATACTAACGTGGTGTTATTAAAGGAAATTTCGATTTTTCAACTTCGTATTTTTTTCTGTAGTTGTCACTTTTATACGTTTTACGAACTTTTTATTTAGCATGCACGCAACTGTTTTTATTGTTTATCTTATTTATTTAAAAATGGAAAGGTAAATAAATTTAATGAATTTTTTGAACGTTAACAAGATGTGCTAATTAAAATAAGGTTGACAATAAAATACAACAAATAGTTAGGAATTTAATTGAAAAAAATGAGTAAAAATAAGAACCTCCCTTCTTTTCACTGAGGATTCTCTTAAAAGATTAGTGAATGTTAAAAAAAAAAAAAATTTTGTTCTATATATTGAACAAAATTCTTTATTTTGCTAACTTGGTGTGACATTTGGGGAGTGATAGTAACATCTTTATAAATCTACCCTCGTTATCTTCGTCGGTGCGGTTCATTTTTTTCTTTTTTCTATATGGTGAACTATATATATATATATGAAGAGACAAAAAAGAAATCACAAGAAGAATTGCAGCAACGAGATGAAGAAACCACTAATGTTATCAAGAACAATTTCGAAGGCTTGAATGCGGTATTTCTGTTTTCAAACGTTATTTGTCATTTCTCCGGTGTATATGAGATGTTTAAAGGTTTTTCGGCAAATAGTTTGAGGGGTTATAACAAGTCTTGTTGTAGAAAATATTAAAGTACAAAGTATTTTCCACCAAAACTTTGAAGAACACGAATGAATATAAATGAAGAACAATAATTTTATCTTTTGATTGTAGAATTGGAATGAATATCAAGTGTTTTCTTTTATCTTAAGCCTTGAATACGGTTATGATATATATAGGCCACAAATGGGGGAGTGAAATGGTGCCAAAAACCAAGTGAAATGACACCAAATTCAAACATCTAACATTTGGAAACGGCTTCTAAAGGCCAAAATATGGTCGCATAGTACAAATTCATACGGTCACATGATTCAAGTGAACCGAGACCCTTTGGCCTCGAGATATGGCCATGCAATTACCATGCGATCGTATGATAATAATTTGGACCCATTTTTCAGCCAACTTCCCATCTTTTCATTCCATACATACTATTTGTTGATTTTGAACGATAAATTCTCAACAATCTTTCACTTATTCAAAATTAACAAGTTTAATATTTGTCGTATACGATACTCATGCATAATGATTAAATATCTTTCAATTTGAATATAATCATAGTTTAATTCAAACAAAGCATAATCGAAATAAAAGGTAGCGTGTAACGTTGAACCAGTTATTCCTTATGACAATACCGGTAAGAACACACACGAGTATCATGTGTTCTCAAGTTCCTCATAACTCGCTTATCGCTATTGTGAACAATATTTTAAGAGAGAAACTCCACTTCTCTATTAAGACGGCACCATCTTAAAGATTGTTTAGGTGATATTTTTTCAGTACCTTTGTTACTTATAGAAGTACTTATGTTTTACCACTCAAGTTCACTAAGGGTTTAAAGTTCATCCCTCATTTCAGTAACAACCAACATTATTTCAACTTAGGATAGGGTCATTGCAGATTTGAATAATGTTGCAATCATTCACATATCGAATGACTTGTTATTACCCTTTGAATCCGTGAATTACCTTTTGAGTAATTATAGGTAGGGTTTCCGTCTTTGGTGGACCTTTTCAGTTAAGGAGTTTCAATCCCATCATACTCGAAGCAAATGCCACAAAATCTCTATTTAGAGGTTTAGACAAAGGATCCGCTAAGTACTCAAGTTTTATTAGACATTATCGAATTCATTTCATCTTTAATTGCATCTTTCCAGAAGATACTATCACGAGAAGCCATAACTCCTTTATATGTTTTAGGGTCAGTTTCCACTTGTAGAATAAAATGAATTGTTCTTATAACATCCAACTCATTTCCCTCTATTAAGTAAAATGAGTTAAGTTGAATATCAATTTCATCCGGTCCCAAAAACTTCCCAACTTGAGTTCTTTTGCTTCTTCGTTGTTCACTAGACTCATCAATATCTTTGGAAGACATTTCATCATGTGTTCCACTTGAGTTAGAGATATTTTCAAGATTTTCCTTTAATTCATTATCCAAAGATAACGAATTTTCAAAGAACTCTACACCGCTTGATTCGATAATCACATTGGTCTCCAAGTTAAGCAATTTATAGGATTTGCTATTGTTTGTATATTCAATAAATGCACATTTGATACTTCTTGGACCCAATTTGGTCTTATTAGAGTTCATGTTCTTGCAATAAGCAAGACATCTCTACACTTTGAAGTATCCAATGTTCGATTTTCTTCCTTTCCACAATTCATAAGGAGAAATCATTATATGTTTTGAAGGAGTTCTATTAAGTATTCTACATGTACTTAATAAAATTTCACCTCACAAATCAAATGGCAACTTAGCGTATATAAGCGTGGCATTAATCATTTCAACAATGTTTTATTTTTCCTTTCAGTTAAACCATTTTGTTCTGATGTCCTAGGTGCTAAACATTAGTGAATTATGTCATGTTGTTCACAAAATAAGTTAAATTCACTAGGAAAGTATTCACCACCTCCATCACTTCTCAAGATCTTTATTTTTTTTCTTAGATGATTTTTAACTTCGCGTTTATACACTTTAAACATGTCAAAAGCCTCATGTTTATGTTTCATCAAATAAATATACATGTATCTAGAGAAGTTACAATAAAGGTAATAAAATACATATTTCCACGTCTAGTTAGCATACTATTTAGTTCACATATATCGATATGGATTAATTCTAAGATACTAGAAGTTTTCTTAACACCTTGATATGTCTTTTAGTCATTTTTTATTCTACATGTCAAATTTATATTCCTTATTGTCATTATATGAAATCAAATCATTTTTTTCAAACGTTTCATAATACTTTTATTAATATGTCCTAATTTAGCATGCCATAATGAAAATAAGTTAACAACATAAGCAAAATTAGTTTCATTCATTTCCTTGTCTACGGTACAAAATTTAACCATTCCTTCACAAGAATAGCATTTTTCAACAAATTTCTCCTTAAGGGATAATACAAGTTTATCGGATTTAAATACACTTTTAATGCCCGATTTTCCTAAGAGATTTTCACTAACCAAGTTCTTATTCATATCCAGAAAATGTAGTACATTTGTAAGAGTAACATTTTTTTTCCGGAAGTGAAGATGATATCAACATTTCCTTTTCCAATGACTTTAGATTGAATCTCGTTACCCATTTGAATCTCTTGGTCTCATCCACTTCATGATATGTTTTAAATAATGATTTATCATATGATACATGTACAGTAGCACAAGTATCATACCATCACCCAAAAACATTTCCCTTGATTGCATTTATTTCGCTTACGGTGGCCACAATTTTGTCCTCTTGGATGAAATTTATCTTACCTTCGGAGTTGTTTCATTTTCGATGTCTACAATCATTTGCTTAGTGTCTAGATTTTTCGCACACAAAACACCCTCCTTTTGTCTTCTTCTTGAAGTTGTTAAAATTTCCGAAGGCTTTCTCTTGTTGGACTTTGTACGCGATTCAGATCTTTCAACGACATTTGCCTTAGAAGTTCCTTCCATTGAGTTTTCACTTCTATCACACAATTTGGATTCCTCCTCAGTCCGAAAATATTTTTGCAATTGTTCCAAAGAATAATCTTCGGAGCCATGCATTATTTTCTTCCGGTATCCTTTTCAAGTCCCCGAGAGTTTAGCAATTATAGGCCCCACTTGAAAGGTTTTCAGGATTTCAATCTTTACCGCCTTTAGTTTGTTGACAATAACTAGCAATTCGTATACTTGGGAAAGTAAGGGAATATTATCAAGAAACTTAAAATCGAAGTATTTAGAAATCAAAAATTTCTTGGTACCTTCCTCTTCCGCTTTGTACTTACTTTTCAGTGCATTCCAAATCTCCTTTGTCGATGTTGTGCTTGTGTATAAATCATACAAATGGTCCGACAGTGCGTTGAGTATGTGACCACGGCATATTAATTCATCTTCTTGACATTTCTGCCTTTCAGCTTTGATTGCTTTGGTCTCTCCATTTGTGGGTTCAAGTAACGGCGCCAAGTTTGGATCCAAAATATAGAAGATCTTCAACTCAGTAAGGAGAATTTCAACTTATCTTGCCACCGCATGAAGTTAGTGCCATCGAACCAATCCAAGCGTACCAAGTTTTGATTCATGAGTTTTATGGTTACCATTATTGTCTCGCTCTCCATTGTAGAAACTAACATTTGAGTTTATTGGAAACATGAAAGTGATGGAGAAGAGACAAAAAAGAAATCACAAGAAAAATTGCAGCAACGAGATAAAGAAATCACTAATGTTATCAAGAACAATTTCGAATGCTTGAACGCGGTATCGCTGTCCTAAAAAATG